CAATAATCACTTGCATTTTTTTTTCTCAGCACAAATTAGTTTTGTCTCTTTGAAAGTGAATCTGTTATTTTACTTATCATGATGTTTTGAGATTCATCCAAGTTGTTGAATGTATCTGTAGCTGGTAGAGAATCTTTTTTTCTTTTTCTTTTTTTCTTTCTGTAGCAACTCATTGAAGCAATATGCTACGGAATATACATTAGAGGGTGTGGGGTTACAGATCTGGGGAAGAGAAAAGAACTGCTCTAAACAAAATTCTTGGCCAAAAAAAGGAAGCAATAAGCTGCTTTTCAGTATTTATGAAATAGTATAATCTATATATATTTTTAACAATTTTTATACAAATATGTTATATAGGTAAAATCTGGCCACCATTAAAATGCACAAGGATAGGCAACACTTTGATAACAAAATGGGCAAGAAAGAAATGTCTATGGTCTCAATTTGAGACTTTGATTCATTTTTGATGATGTTTGATCTAATAAATTTTCTGTAACAACTGCAGATCAATGAGTGTTACTTTTCTCAACATAGCTCTCAAAAGCTTACCTCTATCTCAAGTTTGTAGAATACAATTAGAGATGCAAGATAATTCTACTAACAGTAAATAAAGCTCTATGAATGTTGGTTACTGTCATCAGTGACACTGGTTTGAATATTCTTCTTCTTCCCCTTTGGACTCAAATAAATTTAAAGTTGCAAGAAACTGTAGGGATTGAGCACGTCATCAGTCACTTCAATTTCTAGCTAGGAAACTGACAGAGTCCAAAAGAACAAGTGACCCAATGGAGGCATTGGGTGGGATCATAACCCAAGTGCAACAAGTGGCATGTTTTTACTATATCCCTGACTCTGAATGATATCCCTCCTGAATACAAGTTTGATTTAAATCTGGTAAAACTGCCACCCAAAGGTAACTTGGGTTTTAAATTAAGAGGACCAGGAAAAACTTTCATCTGTATCTACTAAGGTTACTAGCCACCTCGGTTTCCCCAGGACTGTCCCGGCTTGAGCACTAAAAATCCTATCTGTCCAGGAAGCACCTCAGACCCAGAAAACTGGGCATCTGGTACCCTGAATCCTCCTGGGGTCAGAGACAGCTACACAGAAGACATCACTATATTTATATTTTAAACACTCTTGAAAGTTGGACTATCGCCTTCCCAAGGGACAATCAGAACACCACTTAAATTTGTTCCCTACTTTTCTACTGGAAGTAGGTGTCACACAAGCAATGATTCATGTATCACTTGGTCCATTAAACTGTCTTTATTGGGGGGAGGGGGCATATGGTACAATGGTTACAAGCTAAGATATTCAAATATATATCCCAGATTTTTAAAGATTTTATTTTGTTTATTCATAAGAGACAGAGACACAGGCAGAGGGAGAAGCAGGCTCCATGCCAGGAGCCCAATACAGGACTCGATCCCAGGACCCCGGGTTCACCACCTGAACCAAAGGCAGACGCTCAACAACTGAGCCATCCAGGTGCTCCGTATATCCTGGATCATTTTTTTTATATCCCAGATTTTTAAAAAATATTTAAAATCAATTTGCCAACATATAGTATAATGCCCAGTGCTCATCTCATCAGGTGCCCTCCTTAGTGCCTGTCACCCAGTCACCCTATTCCCCCACCTACCTCCCCCTCTGCAACCCTTTGTTTTTTCCTCCAGAGTTAGGAGTCTCTCATGGTTTGTTTTCCTCTCTAATTTTTCCCCACTCAGTCCCCCCCCCCCGTTCCCTTATGGTCCCCTTCATTATTTCTTATATTCCACATATGAGTGAAGCCATATGATGGTAATGGGCTTTCTCTGACTTATTTCACTCAGCATAATACCCTTCCATTCCATCCACGTTAAAGCAAATGGTAGGTATTCATCCCTTCTGATTATATCCTGGATTTAAATCTCAGATCTGCTCCTTAAATAGCCATGAGACCTTGAGCAAGTCACTCTACCCCCCTTTCGGACTCAAAACATCTTGCTTTCAAATGGGGGGAATACCTATCTTCCAGCCTGTTTTTTTTGGATGAAATGAGATCGTGTGTCAAGAGGTTAGCTAGCTGGGTGCCAGGTGTACTGCTCTTGTCCTGCCAAGAGTGACTCCTGATGTGGTTCCATCTGCAAGCCCCATCAGAGAAGCTTAAAGACCACGCTGGGAACAGCTTCCACTGGGACCCATTGGCAAGCCTTCTGGTTTGAATCAGTCAGCAAGTGCACTTCCCCCAAGGAAAAGCAGAAGAAATAGCTCAAACAGCAGGCTTCCACCCAAGCTCTAAGGGTTAAACAAAGGCAACTGCTTTTACATGGGAATGTTTTGTCACCATCTTTTAAAGTGAAACCTTTTCATCTGTGCTAAAGCTTCAGAAGTCAGATTTCCCTGAACTCACTTTGAGACTTTTGCTAGCAATGGGACTTTAATTACCTTTCTCTTACACAGGGATGGCTCTTGTCTATATAAAAAAAAAAAAAAAAAAAAAAAAAAAGGAAGAAAGAAAACTCACTTTTTTTCATCGTTCATTTCTTTTTCTTTCTTTTTTTTTTCAGATTGAAATCTTTTGTTCCTGGCACATTCCATATGCCACCCTTTAATATTTAATCAGCCCCCCCCCATCAGAAGACTGCTGGCCTCATTAGATAATTAATGGTTGCCAGCATCACATTTGCTTCAGTTAATACATCTGCAGCCAGCAATTAGCGCCTGAGTTTATTAGTTGCACTGGCTTCATTTATTGGGGAAGCAATTCTGCCTTTGATTGAAGCCGCTGGGATCGGCATATGTGGACAGCTTGCCCCCCTGTTCGGTGGATTCTTTTGTTTACATTTTTTTTTTTTCTGCTACAGTTTTGCAACACTGCGCATCCTGGCCCTGCCACGAACAGTTGGTGGAGAAGATTTCCCTTTTATAATTTAGGAGATAATTGGGTAATTCTGTGCAGGAAAGAGGGGCCGCAGAGTGATTCTCCAACTTTGGGTAGAGTGAGGAGAGGGGAGGGAAGGGGCTGGCTCATTTGTTCTTTTGGAAATGTCTATTTAAAAAAAAATGCCATTGATGGGAAGTTGAGGAATGCTCACTCTGGAGGGATGCACGCTAAGAAATGTAACCTAATGTGTTAAGCAGCTGTTTGGAGCTGAGGAGGCTCAGGGAGAGGGGGTCTTTGGCCACTTTTCATCTCTAAAGGTGAATTCCTACACCCTGGCCCCACACTCCACCTAGATTTTTATCACTGAGATCAAGTCAGTTTCATGTGCTTTTTGGAGGGCTTTTCTAGGGACCATGGTCACTGCTGGTTTCTTTCTGGTGATTAAAATCTTGGCATATCACTGAGGTTACTTATCAAGTCAAAACCCTCTCCCTTCCTGATGCCAGAAATTGTGAAAAAGGATCACTAAGAACACAATCATGATGTGATATCTGAACGAATGAGGGAGATGTTTTGTAGGTACATCAGAGAAAATCAGAACACAAAGAAAGTGTAGCTCTACAGATGGGAAGAAAAGGGAAGGGAAAGCAGAAAAGACAACAAGTAATAATGCTTTCCAACTCCCCTGCACCTTTTTTTTTTTTTAGGTCAAAATTGCTAAATCAAGGCCAATCTAAATACAAATGCCATAAATGGAGAAGGTAATGGTAATGATGAAGGCAAACATCCAGCAGGCATCCTGCTAAATACATTTCTAAAAAAGTGTGTGTGTTTTTTTCTCATTTAATACCGAGGCATCTCTACCAACCTTTCTCCACATTTTAAGGATAAGAAAAAGATTGTCAGTTTTGAACATGTTTTCCCAAGATCAAACCACCTGTGGCATCTGGGCTCACACTCACCTGGTTCCTATCATGCATTAGTGAATTCAGATAGACCTTTTTTTAAAAATTTTTATTTATTTACGATAGTCACACACAGAGAGGCACAGAGACACAGGCAGAGGGAGAAGCAGGCTCCATGCACCGGGAGCCCGACATGGGATTCGATCCCGGGTCTCCAGGATCGCGCCCTGGGCCAAAGGCAGGCGCCAAACCGCTGCACCACCCAGGGATCCCGCATTAGTGAATTCAAACGTGTAAATTTATTTCATTCTCCTGAGGGCAGTGGCGCTCATTCAGATGAAGTCACTTAGCAAGACCATGCAGCAAGTAGGGAGGCTGTGTAATTCCCAGGCCTCTTCCCACTCCTACAAAAATGAATATTATCTAGAGCCTGAACTTAAGTTCATGTTGAAGGGACAGTGTACAATGGCCCCCACCTACTGAAAATCATATGCTAAGTGCTGGAATGCTGACTCACAACACTCAAATCTTTGGGAGGAGCCAAAGAAGATTATATATGTGTCTTCAGTCCTAAACGGTGAGGGTGATATGCTGATTCACACATTACTTGTTTTTTCTCAGGGTGAGTTCAGTTGTCAACCTCAGGTGGAACACTGTAAGTGATAAACCACATCACCACTGGTAAACATGCACAGGGTAGACGCTTGCCCTTGGCAGTACAGGGCTTCTCAAACAATAATGCACATACAAATAGTAGGGAAACCTTGTCCTCATCACCCTCTGACTGCCAAGGGTAGTCAGCATTTCTAACTAGACCCTGGGTAGTGTCAGTGCTGGTAAACCAATGGTTCTCAACCCAGGACACTTCCTTAGAATCGGTTGAGATGCTTGTGTTTTTCCATACCAATTTTTAGGCACCATCCCAATCAATTAAATTGGCATCTCTGGGTGTCGACCAAAAGATTCAGTATATTTTAAAAATATCCCCAAGTGACTCTAACACTCATCCAGAACCACTAGCTTGAAAAGAAAACTCCTAGCCAGACCAGTTGGCTGAGTGTCCTATCAGTGATATATGTAAATCAAGAGTACAATAGAAGGCAGATACAAGCGTTCCCATTTACAAGGCAAAAATGAAGACCTTTGTAAATTATAAACCACTTGATTCTCCCACTGATCCTTAGTAGGGCACATACCCAATACTATTATAAAGAAACGTGACTTACCATCTTAGAGCCTCAACGAGTCTTCTGGGTAAATATAAAGCTGTCAAGCGTCCACGTGTCACTGTTCTTGTCTGTAAAATGGAGCCAGCAGCGGCTGATTGGAGAAGCACAAGACCAGCGGCTGCCCTGTGAGCTGGGCCCGGGGAGAGTCAGGTGTGGGGGGGCGACCCGCGAGGCCTCTGCGCACCCTAGACCCGCAGCCTCCTGGGTGGGCGCCCCGCTGGGGCCCCCGCTGCCTGCCCGTGATCCGTGCCCAACCCACAAAGGGGCCCCAGCGCTGGGGACCAAGCCGGGCCTGGCCGCTGAGAAGGTGATGCGGGAGGTCAGCCAGAGGGAAAAGGGGCTGGTGACCCGGCCCCCGGGGGTGGGAGCCCGGGTGAGGAAGCAGGCTGGAGGGTGAGGCGGGGTGGAGACCCTCTGTCTGTAGATGTGGCCCGGCCTGCTAGGGTCTCTCTGTAGACTCAGGGTTCCCCCTGCAGGTGCAGAGACCCGCCGGCAAGTGCAGAGATCAGCCCGCAGGTGCAGAGACCCACCCGCAGGTGCAGAGACCCTCCAGCAGGTGCAGAGACCCTGCAGCAGATGCAGAGACCTGCTGGCCTGTGCAGAGATCCGCAGGCCTCACAGCGCCCAGGACGAGCCTCGAAGGTAAGGCCCCTTGCTTGCCAACCCCAGCGCCTGCCGGTCTGCAGTGGCCTGCTTGTCCCTTCACTCTCTCCCCACCCTCCCTTTATAGGCCAGCCAGTTTGCAAACCCGCACCTGCTTGCCTGAGAATGAAAGGAAGTAAGCAATGTGTGGGTTGTCTGCAAAGTCTAAAGGGTTCTGCAGCAAAGCAATGCACAATTATTAATAACGCCTCACCCTTGGGCAGGGCAAGTTCTTCCAAGCTGGAAACTCCAAGGCAGTTACTGTAATTATAATCCAATTCTAAATATCTGTAGTAGGCAGTTTTGTTAAAACAAAAACCATGTTCATCAGCTTTTACTTTTCTTAAAAAGTAGAAGAGTGAGAAGTGACCTCAGAATATCTTTGCATGTAGCACTTGCCAGAATGTGCTATGTCCTGTTGGGAAATGGGATGATTTTTGGTGGCCTGTGGATGTACTTAAAGACATAATCCTGAGAACATGAGAAAAATAGTGGGTTTGGGGGCATTGATACAAAATTATATTTTTGAGTGCATTTATTTAAATGGAGATAGTAAAACAGCATAAAAACCTTGTTATTCAACTCTCTGTCCTTAAGTAATAAATATAAGTGAAGTCATAAATGGATGAAGATAGAATGTCGAGAGCTGTTTGTAGTTGGGAGAGCCTCGCTCTGATTCTGCATCACAGAGTGATCCGACCATGCCCTTCCTCCTCAGCTTCATCCTCCAAATGCTGTGCACAAATGCCCATCTTGCCTTCATCAGATCTGCATCACTGGCAAGAGGATCAGGTGCTTTCATTCCTTCAGGACTGGCGCTGGGCGGCGTGGCAGGACTGCACTTTAGTTATAAGGGGTGTCTTTGGAAGGAGTTGTCCCTGGTGCTTTGTCACTTGTCCCCAGCCCTGAACAAGTCACCAAAGCCTCAGGGACAGCTTTTCCCTTTTTACAATGAGTGCCGGCTAGACTTGCAGATCCCTTCCAGCACAAAAAGTTGATGTGTTGTCCTTAGGATTAAAGTTTATCCTTCAAGTTAGCCAACTCACTTCCTGGAATTTCCCCCAAAGCCATCACCAGGGAAGTGTGCAAACCCTAACCAGCAGAGTGCACATTACCATTATCCGCACAGTAAATGTTTTATTAGATTGGGGTAGGAGCAAATGTGTCATTAGGTTGAATCGGACGAAACTGCCATGTTTGTAGGTCAAAAATGGGTGAACATTAGCGATCAGATGTCTAACGATGGGAGAGCTTTTAAGCCTTTTGGGGGCATATTCTGTGTTCTAATACACTCCACAGCCATCTGCGATAAAACTGCAGAATGGTGTTTAATGACGGAGATATTATTCAACAATATTGTCTTCTGCAGAAAACAAGACAAACCAAAGAAATAGGTTGACAAACAGTGTTATTTGTTTAGAATATATTTATGCAGAGAGAAAAGGACATAGCATCGTCTATATCAAAGTCGCGTGTGCTTTCTCATTTTCCTGTGCTGGCTGTGACTGCTTCTAGTTTATTCAGTAAGATTTTTTTTTTAAAGTTCATTTTATGTTACTTTTTTATTTTTATTTTTTTAAAGACTTTATTTATTTATTCATGAGAGACACAGAGAAAGAGAGGCAGAGACACAGGCAGAGGGAGAAGCAGGCTCCATGCAGGGAGCCGGATGCGGGCCTCGATCCCGGGTTACCAGGATCATACCCTGGGCTGAAGGCGGTGCTAAACCACTGAGTCACCTGGGTTGCCCTTAAAGTTCATTTTAAATCAGTGTTTCCATGTTCACACCCAGTCCTTGGTCAGTAGTCTCTCTCTCTCATCCACATCTGGGTAGTCAGTGATGCACCTGCTGCTACCACTTCCCCACTCTGAAGTTTTGGTGAAATAGCTCCAGGGTACTTCCCAACACGTATCTCCAGACAGCCATGTCCAGTCCATCGGAATTGTGCAAGGTGGTCTGGATTTTCCCTTCCCTGCTCGGGACCCCACCAGCTAGGTATTCACTGCCCCCACCTGCAGCCTCACCTCTGCAGATCACTGTGCACCTTCCTTATCACCCTCTCTGAGATTCATGCAGATTCCTAGAGCCACTAACTGGATGTCTCTATCCCCGCCACTTCTGGGAATTCAGGGTCCCTAGTAGCATCTGACCAATAACATATCATGGTTTGTTGGAAATTCTCTGCATTTAAAACCTCAGGTCTCCTGTCCTAGGAAGTCCTTAGGTCTCAGAAAAACTGGGGGGCTTGGTTGTTCTATGACTAGTCGGATTAGGAAGATCACTGTGGGTGTGCAGGAACTATTGGCCAAAGCTGCTTATGGTTAGGGAGATGGGGCCTAGGCCAATGGGGATGATCTCCAGCTTACAGCCCGTGGAAGTTCTTTCAGAAAATTGGGAGCACACAGGTAACATCCATCTGGGGGCCTCTAAGAATCCAGGTGCAAGTAATCAATCGATGAGAATTTGGTCTCTGATACCTGCCCAAGAGCATCTCCTGACAACTTTCGGACCACAGGCCGCCTAGCTCAGAGGAGGCAATTCCTCCCACTTCTCGCCAAGTTACTTGGGATGGGACGTTCCAGCAGGTCAACCCCAAATAATCTCAGGCTTGCAAACACGAGGGGAGGCTAAACTCCCAGACTCTGGGATGGATCTTCTGAGCTCTTATTCTTGGCAGGTTGCTTTTAGCCCTCAGCCAATGTCAAGCCATTCCTTTTCTCTGTGAATTCAGAGCCCCTTATTTTCCAGAGCACTAAGTAAGCACCATGGTGAATGATGATCATGTTCTAAGTTAATGATACTTTCCTCAGACTCCATATGCAAAAAGTGAAAACTCTCTGATTTCTTCTTTGAGAGGCCATTAATAGAAATCTTTAAAAAGACAGTTTCTGAGCACTGGAAATATTAAGCCGTTATTATGGCAAATGAGCTTATTTTTACTTTCAAATGAAAATATAAATAAGTAATAAGTAAATATTAGCAATTTCGGTTCGGTAATGAATAAGGACGGAATCGGGAACTGAAAGAGTGCCTGCCCATTAGAGAGGCCGCAAAATTAACATTTGTTGACATTTTACTGCTTTTAGCTTTAATGTAAACTAGAGGCAATTAAGTTATGTTCAACACATTTCCCTTGTAAATATTTTCTATTTCTCGATATAGTAACCGTGATGTCTTATAACAGTGCCATATTAGCAGGCCCCACGCTGGGGGGAAGCCTTACCTGTCATCTGCCAGTATAAAAATAGAAAGCCCAAATGCTTGAATAATTCAGTGTTTCCCTTCTATTTCTTATCCACATCATGACTATGCCATTAACCATCGGGGCACCTTCACTCTCTCTCTCTTTCTCTCTTTCTCTTTCTCCCTCTCCCTCTGTCTCTCTTTTTCACAGAGTTGATCTCCAGGTAAATCTATAAATCCCCACTCAGAAGAACATGAATTATCCAATGCTTGAATGAAATGAAGACAAAAACAAGCTTGAATATTTAAACTTGAAGCAAGTATCTTCAATGATAGATCCTTTCAGACTCCAACTCATTTTTTTCTTTGATATCTACTACTGCTATAAAGTCCCAGTTTATCATATAACATTACAATTTATGGTGTAACCAGCTTGTGTACTGACTATAAACCCTTCATCAATGCCACCGTAAAGGGTTTATAGTCCATAAATAGAAGAGCAGGACTGTCTTGCTTCCTTGTTTGGCCCATGACACACCACTTCAGACGTGTCAACCCAGTTATTTGTTTTACATGCTGGCTGAGTTACGGGAGAATAAGTGGATACATTGTTTTGCCTCTCCGAAAATCCAGAGACAATTCAGGGTCACCAGGGAGATTAACAATGCAATGTTAGCTGGAAAGATGCAAGAGAATATGTCTGTCCTTACTACATCATTAATCTCTAGGTGGGAAATTAAAAAAAAAACCTCAAAATTCAAGTAATTAGGGACATGTTCTTTTTTTTTTTTTTCAAATCCACCAATTGTGTAATAATGCCATATCTTACATTAGTGGGGATATACAATTTTACAGTATTTACTGTTGTCCTCTTTCATATGCTCTTTGCTCTATATCAACCCTCTCTTTGGAAAGAACATTGGATTGTAGCACATGAAAAAGCTGAGCTCAGCATTAGCTGATGAACTCTGTGGTTCAGACAAGCTTCTGGTCAATGCTTTCTTCATTTATAAATAGTGGAGGTGATAAAGCCAATGTTTTAAATTTCCTCAGTTCTCCATATTCTATAGGTACTAATACTGACAACGATGGTAGGGATGCTGTTGGTTGGTGGGGATGCTGATAACAATGATAATGGTGATCATGGTAATGATGATGAATTCGTGATAATGGTGGAGATTAGAACGGTGAAAACTAATGCTTATTTAGTGATTCTACAACCAGGCACTGTTTTAAGCGCATTATGCATATTATCTCACATATTCAAACAGCCCCATTTTACATAGAAGACTAATGAGACTCAGAGTGGTTAAGTGACTTGTTCATAGCTACATAACTTGCATAGTAAACTAGCACTCCAACCTAGCTCTCTGATTCTGTAGTCCTTGGTCTTAATCATGCCATCACATCACTTTCCTTTGATGGACCGTTCAAGTGAATGGTGATTCATATTCTGTTTGCTTCTCCACTACCTATATAATGAAGCCTTCAATCTCCCCAAAATCTTTGTAAGATAATTCTGGGAATCCCAGAATAGGGCGTTCCTTCTCATTCCTATCCGTTTAGCTTTGTTGCCTGCAAAGCCACTCACCATGGTTGTTGCCTCATGCCTAGAGCTGAAGCCCATCATAGTGTTGCTCTGACACCTGTAAGAACCCCAGCGCTCTTGAGGCTGCAGATCCCTGAGATTACAAAGCATGGCTGTTCTCCTTACAGCAGGAAGGCCATGATGTCATCCTGACAAAGTTTTGGGAGACTCCCTATGTAGTGGTTGCCTAGATCCCAGATCAATTCTGCATGTGTGGGCATCCCTGGGTGGCGCAGTGGTTTAGTGCCTGCCTTTGGCCCAGG